AGAAGGAGAGACTGAGGGAGGGAGGGAGTGCGAGAGAGAGGGAGAGAGGGAGGGAGGGAGGGAGGGAGGGAGGGAGAGAGGGAGGGAGGAGAGGGGTTAGGAGAGGCTAGCAGCACAGGAGGAGGGGCAAGCTCCGCCCAGAAATCAGGGGGAGACAGAAAGGGTATGGCCTCTGGGGTGGCCAGCAAGGACCTCCTGAAGGAGGCAGGGAGCCTGGCACCCCCATGGAACTGTGCAGAGCAAGGGCCAAGCAGGCCAGAAAGTGGGTCTGTCTGGGAGGCCAGGCTGAGGGCAGAAGAGTGCACCCCACGGGAAGTGGTGGGAGGTCGCAGGTGGCGCCGTCCCCAGCAAGAGTATGAGAGGCAGAGCTCTCTGTGGGAGGCGTGCGGGCAAAATGGGCCAACAGGGGAGGGCAGAGCAACAGGTGCTATCCAGTCCCCAAAAGAGTCAGACCACTGTACTCAGGGGGAGAAGACGGTCCTTTTAAAACACTTGACTAAGAAATAATTGTGTTGATAAAAAAGCAAACCCCAGGGAACAATGGGGCTGGGGCTGGGGCCAGAGCAGACTGCCACCCTCTCTGTTCAACACAGCCACTCAGGGCTTCCCTTCCCTGGTGCCAGAAACAGGCTCTGGACGAGGTCGCCAAAGACCTCCTCTGATTACAAAGACACTGTCCTTCGAACACTCATTGCCCGTACCAGTACCCCTCCCCCTCCAGGTCTCGGCTAAATGGCATCTCCCTAGGAGGCCTCCCAGAGCCCCTGCTGGCATGGCTCCCAGCCGCCACACCCCATGCCGCCTTCCTCTTGCCTCCTCGTCAGCAGGGGGAAGCTGCCTGAGGTCGGCCCCCTCATCTCTGCTTAGAACGGTTCCCGCACACAGTGGGCACCCATGCTCACAGGCCTCCAGCAGGCACTGAACTCAACCCCAGTTCTCTGGCTCACACTCTACCCCATGACACCACCACTCATGACAAACAGCTTTGTCACACACAGCACCAGAAGAGCAGGTTGCAGAGCAGCCAGCAGGCGTGCTGGAGGAAAAACCCACAACACCCTCCCCCGCAGAGGACCCAACCAGACGAGCCTCGCTCACAAGAGCAACTTTCAGCCCACGCCCAGGCTAATTTTACACTCCTAGGCTCATTCCCAGGCCCAGCCCCAGGCTCAGGCATCTGGGTCCTCAGGGCCATCTGGCACCATCAGGCCTTTCCACAGACTAGGCACAAGTAGCAGCAAAGCAGGAGTTGGTAATTTCAGCAGGTGCGGACATTGTGGGCCAAACCTCAAGATGACAGCCCTGCAAGGCTCCTGAGGCTGCGTCCCTGTGGGGACAGAATCTGCAAGTCTGTGGCCTGCCCAGCCACCAAGGCTGAAGGGAAGTGGCGACCCTGAGAGGAAGACCGAAAGAAAAGTCTCCCAATCCTGAAAGGTCATAAGCAAAAGGGAAAGGGCACGGGCCACCTCTCCTGCTTTCCAACCTTCCCACCTGCATGCTTTTTGGGGGAGAAGCTGCAAACCTTTGCAGGGCGCCCTGCCTTCCTGCCACACCAAAATGCTCAATTAACACAGACCAAAAGTGCCACCACCACCCAACACAGCAGCAACATTCCAACCAAACAGACCAAAACATGTGAAGTCACACTAACTACTCCACCTCCACACGCACCACAGGGAGGAGCTGAGGGGAAGAGCCCAGCCCCTGCCACCACCACCCAACACAGCAGCAACATTCCAACCAAACAGACCAAAACATGTGAAGTCATACTAAACTACTCCACCTCCACACGCACCACAGGGAGGAGCTGAGGGGAAGAGCCCAGCCCAGGCCACTGTGCAGCCAACAAAGGAATCCTCCAAAGGGGAGGGACCAGCAGACAGTAACAGGGACGTGGTGGCCACAGTCCAAGTCCACAGGCGATGAGCAAAGAAGTCGACCACAGATCACCGCAGCCGGGGATGCCCTGCCAACCCCCTCCTCCTCCTTTCTTCGAGCCCCCACATCTTATTTTTGTTTCAGTTGCTGTCACTTCCGTGTTCCCAGGCACTGTCTTGCAGAGCTGCCCTGAACACCAGTGGGTGTGCCCAGCCATGAGAAGTCCTATGCAGAGAGAAAGGCAAACATGATGACGGTGAAGACCAGGCAGTGCGCCCACCAGGACAGGCGGGGCAGCCTGCACCTCCCTCCGTATGGCCGGACACTGGCTGGAGGCACAGCACACAGAGGTCACCGTCAAGAAACAGAGACCATTGCCCTGCAGAGCCCCTCCAGCAAGCACCCTGTGTCCCTGACAGAAGCAGCAGAGAGACTGCCCTGGGAGCCTGGCATCTGCCAACCTGCACTGGCCCCATGCCGGGTGCCACCGAGGCCCAGGAGAGCAGCTTCCTGAGGCTGAGCCCCACGCCGCACCTTACAAGCAGTCCACCACACTCATAGGGAGGGCCCTGTGTGTTCCCAGGCTCCCATGACCGCTGCAAGGACAACGCAGGAAGCGCTGTCATATGGGAGCATCAGTTAGGCATTCCACTGAGGTGGTCCCCAACACCCACCTCCCCACACCAGATGACCGCAGCAGAAGCCCGCTGCCTCCCGAGATGGGCTCTGACAGCCATCCACAACCATGCTGTCCCACGCATGCCCCTCCCGAGCCCTGCTAGCTCTTGGTAACGAGGTCTGGCAGGCAGCCCCCAGCGCAGGCCGCTTTTCCAGGACCCGGTGAAGCAGCCTTGGTGAGCGAGTACAGGGCACGACACCAGAAGGCTGGAAGTGGGAGCCGCCCAGGAGGGTGAACAGCAGCCCTCACAGCTGTGCCGCTACAACACGCCCGCAGGGGTCACACAGCCCTGCCTACCGCCTGCCCGCCAGCTGCCTGCCGCAGCAGGGCCTGTCTGCGGCTTCGGCCCCAGCCCCCGCACACAGCAGGCACAAACGCCGTCAGGAACCTGGAGCCGCCAGCCGAGGAAGAGGTCCAGCTCACTGTCGTGAGAGGCGGTGTTCACAACAGCACTAGCCGTGATCGCCAAAGTGGACACAACCCAAACGTCCCCCTGCTGGCGAAAGTGTGCACACACTTGCACGTCTCCACACAGCAAGAGCTCATGCAGCAATGCAAGGATGGACACACGAGACAACATAGATGAACTTTAAAAACACCACACTACATGAACCAGTCACAAAAGATCACATACGGAGATTCCGTTTATACGAAATACCCAGACCCAGCAAATCCATAGACAGAAAGCAGATCAGTAGCTGCCTCTGGCCAGGTGGGACAGGCAGTGACTGTAAATGGACATTCAGTTTCTTTGGGGAGATGTCAACGTCCTAAAGTTAAACTATGGTGATGGTGACGCAGCCTGTAATTTTACTAAAAGTTACTTAATTGTACACTTAAAACAAGTAAAGTTTATGGTATGTAAATTATACCTCAATGAGGCTGTTAAAAAAAAATCTAGAGACTTCAACTCATTCAGTGTGGGTGTCCTTACAACCAGCCTCAGCTATCAGCCACAGGTAGCACACCCCCTCTCACCAGGCAGAGAAAGGCACCAACACCCACTCAGACCCTTGCAGAGACACAGGCACGCAGGACACTATCTCCGTCCATGCAGAAGACTCCTGATGGCAGCCCACACAGGCCGGAAAGCCCCACAGCCAGGTAGCAAACGCTTGTCAGCTGACCCACAGAAACCATCTCAGCTGGCCAGTTAGCTCAGTTGCTTAGAGCGTGGCACTGGTGACACCAAGGTCACAGGTTCAGATCCTGAGACCAGCCAGCCGCCAGAAAAATAAAGAGAGAGAGACTGTCTCCAACTTCAATGTACTCGGCATTCAGTGACCAGCACTGGAGTTTTACCTCCTCTTGCCAGAGCCAGAAAGCCCCACAGTACACCTCACCCCATCTAACTGCTGCCTGGAGAGTAACAGGACAGCACTGCCATCAGAAAGGGAGCATGGAGCGCCCTGGGGCAGGTGCCCAAGATCTGTGCCAGTCCCACCCTGGCTGGGCCCCAGCTGCAGAGGCTACTTCCAGAGGCGGAGGGCAGTCCTGTCCTAGCAAACTTCACCCTGTCACACCCCATCCCCCAGGGCCAGTGGGAGGGCCAGTTTGCTCCCATCAGTCAGAAGGAGGAGGAAGTGTGTTTCCTCTTCTGAATTCCCAGATACTCAGAAGCTTCTGGATTGTGCTTTCTGTTGTGTAAAATTTAAACTACACTCATATCTTTTGCTAACAAATGCCTGTCATTGCCAGTTAAGGATAAGACAAAAGTCTGCCCTAAGCCAGCAAACACTGTGTGGTTGAGTTCTTCCCTTTCCCAGACTGTGGAATCTTAAGTAGCTCCTGCAGCTTCTCCTTTCCAGTGGCAAGGTATGACACCCTGTCACCAGCTGTCCAGAGTGGTATAGTGTTTGACTGTACAAGAAGTGGTAACCCTTTACAAGTTATGAATTACTCTTTCTGAAAGAGAGAGAGAAAAAAAAAGAGAAAGACTTTTAAGTTAACTCTACAGCTACTTTGCCAGCATGCTCAGAGCAACGCCAAGCAGAGGAAACGGACAGGAAGAGAAGGCCCAGAGCCACACCTTGCAAACCTTCTCCAGAAAAGTCCCAGCAAGACTCATCACCAAGTCCCAACGTGTAGGGCTTTGTTCTGGCTTTCCTGAGCAGGTCTCCCCGTAGGGCCTCTCTTCCTCATGAGCAGCTGGGAGTGCTGAAGATAAGGCTGCTAAACTGCTCTGCAGCTGGCCCTCAGCTCCTCCCCAGCAAAGGAAAGACATGGTTTTCTCCTTGCCCGTCCATATACCACTCTCCTGTTCCTAACAGTGACCGGACAGAAGGCAGTGAGCTCTGTTTGCTGCTACTGTCCAGTCCATGCTTCAAGTCCATACTTTGTCACCTGAGATGAACTAATTTAAAGAAACCTTTCCTTAATAAAAAAAAAAAGAAGAAAGAAACTTTCAACACAAGAGAACTGTACTCCAAACCAACTACCTGGTTGACACTGAATGGTTTGAATAAAAATATCAGCAAATAGTCAAAAATAACACATTTCCCCAATTCTTCCAGGGAGAAACCTAGTTAAAGAATTAATGGCCAACAAAAGCCCAGCACTAAGCACATGCCAGCCGCTCAGGCAGGAGCAGGCTTCTTCACGCATTATTGCTGCCACCCCTGCCCCACAGTGGGACAGACCAGGGGTCTCTGCAGCTCACTCACTCCACAGCTTTTACATCTTCATATCTTTATAACACATGTTCAACAAACATGTGAAACAAGCCAAGGGAAGGAGGAACAGAGGAACACCTGGGCCCTCTCAGCTGCATCATGCTAGGATACCAGCTTGAAAACAAGCTCTCGAGGAAGAATGGTACTCGACAACTGAAATCACTACTTTAAAAAGAAAAGGAGATTCATATTCAGGGACTGTTAAAGAACTCACGATTCAGAACGTCCAACGTGCAACTGCTTTTTTAAACACACACACACACACACACACACAAAGACAACCGCACTTCATCTTAATCCCTCTTTTAAAATCTCCGTTGTCCTTTTGGAACTGCACGTTTTTACATCCAGGCAGCAACAGATGCTCCTTCCCCTCCCAGGTCCCACAGAAGCAGCAGCTCCAAGAGGCTCACAGGCTTTCCTCTCGCACCTGGACTGGCCCCCGGCCTGGGCCCATAAGATGAGAGCTCCCCTGTCTCTCCCGGAGGACTGCCTGGTTACCAAAGTCCTGACAAGTGTCATAAGTACCAGTCCCTCGGAATCCTAACCGCGATTAACTTCTGGATAGTCACAACGACGACAGTAAAGTCCGTAAGGCACAAACCTCAGTCAGTTTTAAAAGCCTCGCTGCGGGTCAGTTTCCAGGCACCATGTACCTGCCACGTGCAGACACCAGTAGGTAATCACCACACACACGAAACACAACCGGCTGCCTCCTGAGCTGCTTCGGCTGGTCCTCCGGACACGAAGCCCCGAGAATTCAACTCACCCACTCAAGAGTCTGCTTCTCTGAAACCGGCTCACCAGGAGGCCAGGTTGCCGCCAACGCAGTCCCTCCGGATGAGCGCAGAAAGCCAGCGCGCGCCCTGAGCTGTCGGAGACCGCCAGGGCTCAGACGAGACGCCTCCCGCCCCGCCACCTCCACCTCGGCCTACCCCTCCACGAGTCGCGCTGCCAGCAGCAGAATCTCCGCCTCACGGGCGAAGCGACCACCAGAGGCACGCAGCCGGCGAGCGGCGCGGCTGGGAGGGCGGCGCCACCTCCCGAGGAGCCAGAGGGGCGCCCGTCGCACC